GGTTATAACGTATTAATTACGTTTTGAAATTGTTCAATTGATTAATAGAGTATTAATCAAATTAGTTAATTTTTTTAGGGCATTGGGCCTAATTTACCCATTTTTCGCTCCTCGGGCAAAGCACTTTCGCAAGGGGCCCTTGGCTCCCTCCGTGCATGAAAGCAGGTCTTAAAGGCCTCTAATAATCAATTCTAAAACACAGTCAATGCTCCTCAGTGAACTATATGTACACGGTAACAACCCCTTCATCCCCAGTCGATGCTTCAGTGTAGTATAGAACACAATCATGTGAACTCGAAGAAATATATAATCATGGTTACTCTTCTGATCCATCTCAATATCACGTGTCTTACATTCCAAATCACAAATATTTCATATCTTATCTTTGAATTCCACAACTATCATAACGAAAGAATATTTCCATAATAATCATGTAATCGAATATATACTTACGTAATATAATAGTATAATTAATTATCAATACTTGAATATATTTAAATTTTTTTCCACTCACGGATCTACGGATATAAATCTGATTAAATTGATGAGCCTTTTCAAGCTTCCACGTCCTTATCTGAAATAACGGTATAATTTTTCGAATTAAAACCAAACAATTAAAATAATATAAATCCACCACTTAACTTCTCAACTTCTATACTTAATTTTTCGAATTAAAACCAAACAATTAAATTAATATAAATCCACCACTTAACTTCTTAACTTCTATACTTACTTTTACATCTCCAATTCCCCAACTTTTCTTCTGTATATTGAAATCTGGCATCGAAACCGTTGACAGAAATAGCACTTTTCTGGGTAGAATTTCAAAATTAACACCTGTACTATAATAGCTCGAAAATTGATTTTTAAAAATGAAGAATTCCAATCTCAAATACTTAAGTGTTTAGCATCATATAATCAGAAGAAACTCAAAGAATATCTCTTTTATCTAGCAACCCACTTCTAAAATTCTACTATCTTCATCTCCAATTTTCAAATAAACATTTCCTTACTCTATTCTTATTTAAAACCTTGAATACATATCAACAACACTTAATTCTTGCTAACTTCAAACTTTTAAAGATAAGTTCCGTAAACCCTAAAGGAGATAATTTCACATTCTTATACTTACCTCTCTAAATCAAAGGGGGAAATTGAGAACTTGACCTTGTAAACTTGGAACCTACCCCTTCGTTCTTTTTCTCTCTCTCTTCCATTTCCTCCCTTTTCCTTCCATGGTTTCATTCCTGTTTCTCCATTCAGTTTTTGTCCCCTCAAAATGACCAAAAAGAGATCAATTATCCTTTAAGTTAGTGGATAACCATTATAATATTGCAACTAAAGTCCCCATCCTTAATATAATATACCTTTAATTCCAATAAATAGAAAACAAATCCCTAATTGTCTATATATATACTTTTGGCCCTTAAGTACTTGTAATTACAAATAAAGCCCCATAAAAATTATTTTTTCAACTTAAATCCTTATTAACTTTGAATTTGACTAATTACTTTGCTTGACTTTGACTAAAAATGAGTGGGGTGTAATAATCTTGCCCACTTCAAAGAAATTCATCCTCAAAATTCAATCCACTAGAAGTCGAACATATTGGAAAATAAAGCAAAAATAATGAATGATTCCTCCAACAACCTTTAACAAGGCCCAAAGTTCATTCTTTCCTTATTATACTTCGAATAACTTTCCTATGAACCAATATATGATATTTTCAACTTTTCATTTTACATTTCTTATTTCTCCTTCTCTATAAATATGCACTCCCTGCAATACCCATATACCTATTCAGCTTATCTTCTTCTCTTGTAATTTTCCATTTCACTTTTCAGTTATGCCCATATACAACACACAACTTACTAATGCAGTTTTCAATTCCTCATCCTTTTCTTTCCACGCCACAAAGTTTCATTGTCCATTTAATTCTTTAAGGCACCACAACTACATGTAGAGAGAATCCAAAATTTTGCACAACTTAATACTTACCCGTACTAAAGTAAGAAACTTGAGCTTACCAATTTCTTAAATAAAGAAAGAAAAACACAACACCTAGACTTTATCTCTATTCCTCCTTTTTTTTTTTTTTTCAACCTAATTTATCACTAATCTCTCTCATTTTGTAACCTACCATATAATTGGTCAAGGTAGTCATAATCCCATCCTATATTTTTCTCGAAGTACACATGAATGTTAATCTCTTCAATGCGTAATATGCATAATAAAACAATGTATTTCATTGATCAACATCCTATATAATATTATCATTTTGTCCTCTCATATAGCATAAGTATATACCAACATGCTTCCTACTCTCGTCCCAAAGGTATGACCACAATTCACCACAATTTTCGATAGCGCTAATGATCATTTAGCTCCCCGACATAATCAAAATCATTTAGCTCCCCGACATAATCAAAATCATTTAGCTCCCCGACATAATCAAAATCATTTAGCTCCCCGACATAATCAAAATCATTTAGCTCCCCGACATAATCAAAATCATTTAGCTCCCCGACATAATCAAAATCATTTAGCTCCCCGACATAATCAAAATCATTTAGCTCCCCGACATAATCAAAATCATTTAGCTCCCCGACATAATCAAAATCCCTCACAGATTATCACCAATTACACATATTATATCATTTCCTTGTATTATTGTGCAAGCTATAATTAAAGATTTTCTTATGTATACATAAAAAATCATGTAATTTTACAAATAAATTGATACTTAAATGGTTGTACCATCTATCACTTTGAATGCCTATACATAAACAACCTGCAAAATCATCAAAATCTGTTTAGCTCTTAATATTTTACATATACCATGGTTCCAATCCAACAACTAATAACTTTATCAACCATCAGATCATTGCAACTATCATACTTACATACTAATCATTTTTGGATCTATTAAAAATATTTTTCTATCATATTTGGTTCCATACATTCGAGTCTGAGAGCTCGTAATTTCCACCACCACGACATATAACCATATGCAATGAATATGCATCATATGCCAATGCAAGAACTATGAAAACTTTCAAAACTAATATCACTTTGACAGGACCCGTCTCGAATCACTCTAGTGGACTAGAAACGTGATGTGCACCGATGATAAATGATGACTAGATGCTAGATCCATCACCAAGGCTAACCATGAGCTACTACAAAATATGCACTAAAATCAAATGTTTATAAAAAATATAATACAATTGGCCAGAAATAATTACTTCATCTTTTATCAAAAATGAATCGTATCACTCAATATGTCATGTGGTTCTAATTATAAAACCACCAGGCTCCTCAAGCTATCAAAGACTAATACTACCGTAAGAAAAATCATGGAAAAATATGAGTTTATCACTCAGTGAGTGGAAGAGTTCGAAAATAATTATACTTTTTCATTTAAACATTTTTCTCATACATAACATAGACATCAAGTTCATATCGTTTAATAATTCACATGATAGCCTCACACAATTATAGCAAAAAATGAGACATTTTCATAACTTTGTAAATATCATCTCATATTCACGATATAGTCATCAGCTGATATCTATATCATCATCCCATCACACTATCTGTGATCTACAAAAAAGTACCCTCTAACTAAAATCTGAAATCCGTCTCTCGGGCCAAGTACTTTAACCACAGGCCTTTGGCTCCCTCCATGTACGAAAGTGGGTTTCAAAGACCTCTAATGATCAATTTTAGAACACGACCAGGCCCCTCAGTGAACTATATGTACACGGTCATGATCTTTTTATCACCAGTCAACCCTTAGTGTAGTATAGAACACGATCAATGCTCCTCAGTAAACTAGAAGAAGTATATAATCATGAGTATTTTTTCTTGTCCATCTTAATATCACATGTCTGACATTCCAAATCACAAATATTTCATATTTAATCTTTGAATTCCACAAATATCATAATGAAAGAATATTTCCACAACAATCATGTAATCAAATATATAAGTGCACATAATGTAGTAGTATAATTAATTTATCAATACTTGAATATATTTATATTTTTTTCCATTCATAGATCTATGGATAGAAATCTGATTAAATTGACGAGCTTTCCAAGCTTCCACATCCCTTTCTGAAATAACGGTATAATTTCTCGAATTAAAACCTAACAATTAAATTAATATGAATCCATCACTTAACTTTTCAACTTTTATACTTACTCTTACATCTTCAATTTCCCAACTTTTCTTTTCTTTAATGATTTATCAACCGATCACCCTACACTATCAAATCTATTACACCACTCACAGTTCCTTAAAACCACTACCTTATACATATACAACCTCTATACATAGTTAGTCCAATACATAGACTTCAATATTTGTCATATAAATTCATTTAAACCTTTAAAAATCTGGAAATCCAAAGTTTGACAAAAACAACACTAAAATTCCACAATATAGCCAATTTCTATATATTGAAATTTGGCATCGAAACCATTGACAGAAATAGCACTTTTCTGGGCAGAATTTCAGAATTAACACCTGTACTATAATAGCTCAAAAATAGCTTTTAAGAAAATGGAGAATTCCAATCTAAAATTCTTAATTTAAGCGTTTAACATCATATAATCATAAGAAACTCCAAGAATATATCTTTTATCTCACAACCCATTTCCAAAATTCTACTTTCTTCAACTCCGATTTTCAAATAAACATTTCCTTACTATATTCTTATTTAAAACCTTGAGTACACATCAATAACACCTAGTTCTTGCTAACTTCAAAGTTTTAAAGATAAGTTCCATAAACCCTAAAGGAGATAACTTTACCTTATACTTACCTCTCTAAATTAAAGGGGGAAATTGAGAAATTGAGAACCTGACCTTGTAAAATTGGAACATATCCCTCCATTCTTTTTCTTTTTCTCTTCCATTTCCTTCCTTTTCCTTCCATGGTTTCGTTCTCTACTTCTCCATTCGGTTTTTATCCCCCCAAAATGACCGAAAAGAGATCAATTATCCTTTAAGTTAGTGGATAACCATTATAAAATTGCAACTAAAGTCCCCATCCCTCATATAATATACCATTTACTCCTTTAATTCCAATAAATAGAAAACGAATCCCTAAATGTCTTTATATATACTTTTGGCCCTTAAGTACTTGTAATTACAAATTAAGCCCCATAAAAATTATTTGTTCAACTTAAGTCCTTATTGACTTTGACAATTACTTTGCTTGACTTTGAATAAAAATGGTTGGGGTGTAACATTTTGAAAATTGGATACAGTTACTAATTCATGATTTAGCATGTACAGTTATTCTCTGGTTTTGAGCTCGCTTGCTGCCGTGTGAACCTCCTTTTGGCAACTATTAAAGCTCCTGGTCTTGAAACGGTTGCACTATGTCGCTACAATTGAGATAATGGGATCGCATATGTTTCCTAACTTCCTTTGTCGATGCCCTCGATTAGGCTAGGGTAAGCAAAGTGATGTGGAATATGGGCCTTTCGGTGACTTCCTGTTATTCTTTAGCTACCTAATACGTGGCCAATAATAAAAGCCTCATTGGATAGAGTGTAACACTATTTACTAAATACCGGTCTTTAATTAGCGACTCGATTCTATAATTATAATTATTAGTTAGAAATACTTTATAATTATTGAATGTGAGAGTTCTATGAAATTTTATTTAATTGCCTGTAATAATTAATTAATCAGAATTAATTATCATCGATAGTTCAATGGAATGGTTTTCATTAACTTTTCGACAAACCACTAGACTACTGTTAACTAACTAAATTACTAAATTATCACAGTAATAGTAAATTCAAATAGTGAACTCGAGATATAATGTGATAAACCTCTAGCAAAAGCATCTACGAGTCCCCATCCCCATCCCCATGCCACGAGTAAAATGATTTACCATTGGGGAATGATCGCACGTTTTAGATGTTATAATGATGCCCCAGACACAAGAATCTCCTGAAAAAATATTAGTATTTCCTTAACCATGAGAAGAATCTCAATTGATATATAACCAAGTTTTTACTACATGAAAATAAGGAAAGTATTCAATGTTTGTTTGGTAGAGATTTTGATAATTAATTTTTTGACCGTTAGAGAGAAAATAGGTCCTATCCATGAGAGAAAAATTCAAAAATGACTGTTGGAATAATGAAATAATGATCAAAAAATTAATTTTAATTGACTTTTAAACCCTACCAAACAAGCTCTTAAACTTATATCCAAGTATAAAAGATTTGATTATAATGCAATAAAAATAATGTTCTTCATACCATAAGTGAAAATTGCAGTATTCGGTATTCCCTTGGAAAGTTATAAAGATTGAAAATACATATAAATGAAATGGTACGTTTGTTATTCAAACGGGTTTTAATAAAGCACGAACATTTTCCTATTTAATTTTTTTTTGAAATAATTGCCTATTTTTTTCTAACTAAACTTGTCAAGTAAGTTTTTAATTTTATTTCAGTTATAACAAAAATTAATTAGCCCACAATCGTTGTCAAGGAAGTTGAGTCCAAATTCTTTTAAAAAAGAAAGAATCTTCGGATCTTCAATCCAAATAAGCTGTTCTCTAAATCTTCAAATCACGACGACTGCACCACTATATTCTCTCTCGTCTCCGCCTTTCCTGCCTCTGTCACCACCACGATTACCATATGTATGGTGGATATATTCAACTTTTAATTTCAAAGTCAACAATTAATTTTAACCACACATTTTATAGGATTCACAAATTTTCAACCATAATTTCATTAACTTTTATCAAAATTCTCTAAAAATCTGATTTTTATCCCAATGGGCTTAATCCGAAAAATAGTTACAATGGGTGAAGTTATTGTGGGCCTTTTGCTTCAAATAATGATTTCATCTGAATTTAGATGTAAATGCAAAAAAGATTAGTTCTATATCGGAAAATCAATAAAACCAATAAAATTTAATTAGTTCGTAGAGTCGATAAATGTTCCTATATACTTGTGTTGTTGAAGCAACCACTTGACTTGGGTGTATATGAGGTGATTTGAGATGGAATAATTAACACATAAAGTCCTTACCTTTCACTATTATTGTGGAAGATATCATTACATTTTTCTCTCCCTTTTTGACATTTTCACCCTTATTGTCACCTTACATTGCACAAAAATATCATTTTCATCCATTTTTCAATTGTTCATTTCATTGGATTCAATTCACAACTGATGTTTGCATAGCTTCACAAGTAATTTACTAATGAGTGCACATACTTATGAAAAGGAACAAAATAAAAATTCAACCAGACTCAAGCCATGATCCTGTACAGTTAAAAATTAAAATTATGGTTTACAATCAACATCTCTAATTATGATAACTTAGTTTAGGTCAACCACCTGGAACATAACGTAAGACAACGCCTCGATAATATCGAGCCCATGCCGAGGCATAACCAGACTCCCTCATTGACCGAAGACATCTCAACCTCGGAAGGACACCCAAAGAGACCAACCACCTCGAAGAAATTGCCGAGGCCAATCGTATAGGCATGCATTCGGCAGTCACTACAAAGTATGGGGAGGAGGCTCACTAGAGATCTGGTGGCATGCACCAATTATCAAGGAAGCTCCCACCTAAGTTACTATCGAGTCATCAAGTCAAAGTGTCACACATTATATAATAATAACGGGGAAAGATAAGTAATTGAATGGGACAAGTGCAATGGCCAATATTGCCATCAAATAGGGCATTATCACCTCAAGAAATTGACAAATTATGATGCCGATGGCAACGACGTCTGATGAAAGAGATGGAATGGAATATTAACATTATGTAATGAGCCACGTTGGAATGACTTAATAAATACTAATGACTCGACTAACGAAAAGATGATTTAGCTAGATAAATGGGTGGGTCGGATCATGCTGCAGGTTATGAGCTGAAAATGGGATTTGGACGCCTGCATCAATTGAGGGCCATCATCATACTGAAGAACATTTTGCACGGCCAAAATTTGGAGAGGCAACTTGTTCTGTTGCACTCTACTCTTATTTTGAATTTAATGACTTATAGGCGTTACAAATTCACTAAAACCAACAGAATCATGTAAATGTAAAATGCAAAATGGAAATTGCAGGGAAATGAAGATTGAAGAATGGCATTACAAAATTACTAGTTATTGCTTGAAAAATTTGCTTGACTCGCATCTTGTTTGGACTCTTCTAACTATCCTATTAGTACAGAAATAAGAGTAGAGTGCAAAGGGGAGGGCGGATAGGGCTCAGCGCGGCAGTGTGCAGAGTTCGATTCCCCGCAAGGTGGAATTGGCTTTGTTGCAAGCGAAAGTTACCATATGGGTTAACAGTCTTGGCCTATCTATGTGCTCTCCACCCTGGCTTCTGGGAGGCATATCCTGCGATTTACCTCCTCCACGATGGCCCAGGACAGGGTCGGTGGGAGCCCTTAAGGTTGGGGTTCAACCTTTTTTTTTTTTTAGTACAGAAATTTTGTGCTACACGGGATACATCCGAGACACACCGCATTATCTTTTGGATAAGAACCGTTGGTTTTAACTACTGTCAAGTTTGTACAAGAAATTTGTCTTGCATATCCATTTCAAATCAATTCATCTCTCATTTCTCCTCCATACCAGTCTCGAACCCTCGAACACGGTTTTGATTTTTCCTCAAAACCCACATCTATCTTCCTGGTTTACGTGTTTATTTCCTTTAACCAGATTTCTTCGTCAAGAACCCGAAATATTTTAAATGTTTTTTTCTGGTTTATTTATCAATATCTAAGATTGTAGTAAGAGGTATGTTTTCATTTGTCTTCTTGTCCATTTCTTTTTCTTTTTTTAATATTATTGCATAATATTACACCATCTCCAATGTAATTTTCGTCCATTTTAGTAGCCTGTATAAGTGAAACACTAATCGTTTGAGTGAAGTGGAAGAAGTAAATAATAATATTTTCCATTTTTTCTAACATTGCTGAGTTAAATCACTGTTTTCAAAACCATGCTAATCTGTATTTTTTGGTTGCCATTGCCATTCTATCGAGTTAAAAAATCTGGAGAGTTGCATTCTTCTATTCTTAGTATGGGTTCTACAAGCGAGACCTCTGATATCTCATATTCTTGTAATGGGTTTAAGTTATGCAAAATCATTAATGCTAAAATCTGATTTTTATTACTGTTTTTTTTTTTTTTTTTAAAGAGTTCTACATTAACCAGATTATTTTTGGGTCAAAACTTGAAACATTTCAAGTCTCTTGTCCCTGCTGGTGAATTTTGTTGGTTGTCATTTTACCATGTAATCAAATAAAAGAATCTGTTGAAGTTGCATTCTTCAATTCTGGGTTCTGCAAGTAAATACTTGGATATATCGTTTTCTTGTGATTGAAATTTTATGTTATGCCAACCTATCATAGCTAAAATATAGTATGTTTTAGAATTTTTAGGAGTTCTACTTGTAAATGATTTAACCAGATTTTTTTTTTTGTTCGGAAAAATGAGACATTTCAAGTCTCTTTGTGCCTGCTCATCTGTATTTTGTTGGTTGCCATTTGACTGTGTAATCAAGTTAAATATGAATCTTGAAAGTTGCATTCTCATGTTTTTAGTATAAATGAAACATTGTAGTGATTTAAAATCCATTTTAATATTACACCGTCTCTAATGTTGAAGTGATTTAATATCCATTTGGGTTATTCTTGGGTGACAGGCCTGGACACAAGGGTTTTTCCCTATCCATTTTAATAACCCATATGGATAAGTGAGACACTACTCTTTGTTTGACTACGTGTAACATGGAAGAAGAAAATAATAGCGTTTTCCATTTTTTAAAGGATTTCTACTTGTATATGACGGAAAATTTTTGCAATGACAGGTGCATGTGTGTCATTTATGCTAGATTGCCTAAAAACCTCGTATGTTTCCCACATTGATTTGCTTGAAGATGTCAAGGAGAAGGTAAAACAGCTGTTCAGGGACTTGACT